TTTAATTTTTAGTAATATCATTAACTACAACTTGCCTTTTTATCCTGCTCAGCATTACTTTTGCAATGCATTCACATTATTAGGTATAATTTATTCACGTAAATGCTATATATTTCACTGAGAAATATGCTACAATTTAATTATTTATTGTTCCTACTGATGAACTTTTGGGTTGTTTCCTTTTTCCCCCCTTAATATACACAATGGTAAAATGAAATGATTTTATCTTTGTTTGGGTTTCTTGTGCTTATGTGCTAGGATTTCTCTAAGAATGTAACTTTTTAGAGATACTTTTCCTACTCTTGAAAGGTGTTATGATACATTATTTTTCACAATAAATTTCAAAATTGGCCAGGCATGGTGGCTCATGCCTGTAATCTCAGCACTTTGGGAGACTGAGATGGGAGGATTGTTTGAGGCCAGGGGTTCGATACCAGCCTGGGCAGGAAAGCAAGACTCTGTCTTTTAAACAACAACAGCAAAAACGTTATATACACATACATATATATGTACATATAAATTATCAGTCTGTTGTGCTTTTGTAAAATTTGTAAGAGGACTACTCTCAAACCAGCTCAGTAGCAGTTCCTTACCTCCTCCGACTTAGCTGAGAATGTAAAACCAGACCTGTTGAGCTGCGGTGAGCAATTCTGCCTTCTATGCTTTACTATAGAGAAGTAGGATGTCCTACTCTCCGGGAACCCTGTGGGCATTGAGGAGGTTAACAATTTATTTTTTATTTTTATTTTTTGAGTTGGAGTCTCACTCTGTTGCCCAGACTGGAGTGCAGTGGCTGCTCGCGGCCACCACAGCCTCGACCTGCTGGGCTCCAGCGATCCTTCCGCCTCAGCAAGTAGCTGGAACTACAGGCGCGCGCTACCACACCCAGCTAATTTTTGATTTATTGTAGAGATGAGGTCTCGCTGCCCAGGCGGGTCACGAAAACAATTTATTTTATTAAAAATGGAATATCCTGCTTTTGGGTTCTCGCTTCCAAGATGACAAAAGAAGAAGGAACAGCGGGCGTGCCTAAAGGGGCTATGGCCGTGTACAGCCTGTTGGCTGCACAAACTGTACCCACCCTGCTCCCAAGGATAAGGCTATTAAGAAACTTGTCATAGCCGGGCTGGTGGCTCAGTCTGTAATCCCACGCTTTGGAAGACTGAGGTGAGTGAATTGCCTGAGCCCACAGGTTAGAGACCCACCCGGGCAACTTGGTGAGACCTCATCTCTACAATAAATCAAAAAATTAGCCGGGCGTGGTAGTGCGCGCCTGTAGTTCCAGCTACTTGGAAGG